CTTTCTGGTCAACCAAGCCCCATAGAGAGAGTATAACAGATAATAATTACTTATATTCCTGCTTGTTTTTTTTAACAAATAATAAATTGTTACATATTTTTGTCTAAAACTGGTTGTACGTTATACTATTAGCTATTTAACAATGTTTTCAAATTGCCAGTGTTTTTTTTTTTTTTTTTTTTGTCTCGATAGGACTAATGGCTTTGAAGATAACAACAATTGTTTTTAAAGCTCAAAATGATACCGTTACAAAGACCATAAGGTAAAACCTGGCATGTTTGGTATCGTTGGACTGTAAGAGGAAAAAGTCGCTTTTTTGCATTTTTAGCTCATTTATAATGGAAATGGCGCGTTTGTGAGGTTGTATACAAATCAGGCAGGAAGAGGGCGGATTTGCCATAGAAATACATCATTTTGACACCTTTTTAACAGTTATAGCGCCACCAAGTGGTCAGTCACCGTGTCCTTTTTCACACAACGACAGAATGAACTTATACAAAGGTGCGCTGAGTTTAGTGAAAATATCTCATTCCTTTCACGAGTTATGGCCAATTTAGTAAAGGTTGTAATGTTTTGGTGGCCCTTTGGGACCATAAACAGAATCTTGCTGCACTGGTTTGGTTTCGGCCGGGCCAAAAACCTAGGACTAGCTTGCAAAAACCCCAAATACCCGAAAATGTACCCAGGGTGATGAGCCAATCCATGGCATACATCTTGCCTGGCTTGAGCCAATGATTCCAACGATGTAAGACACTTGAGCCTACGCCTAACTGTTGAGGAGTTATGAGCCATTTTGTACTTTTGACCACTGTAGCGCCCCCCTCAGGCCGATCGAAGCGGGCCTTGGTGACGTTGTGAGATGGTCCTCACTGCGGAACATGAAATCCATGGGGAGGAGTCGGATCCAGATCCAACTCCTCCCACCTTACATACACCTAAACCTAACCAACTCCGCCCCCTGATCCCTAAACCCACCCCTAATCCCTAAACCCAACCCTAATCTTACCCATCTCCACCCCTTGGATCGTGATCCGACTCCTCCCCGTGGATCTCATGTTCTGCATTGAGGTGCTACTGGACGTTGTAGGCGTTGTGACTACTACCAGCCCCCAGAGTTTCAAGTTTTTATGACTTACGGTTCGTTCTGCCCGATCAGTTTATACGGAGAATGCTGCATCATGGTAAAATTAACAATAACGATAGGGTTTCAGTACTTTGTGCTTAAAAATCCTAATAATTCAGTACATTTATATGGTGCTTTTCTCTGCACTAAAAGCAATTCACATAGAAGGGAGAATCTCCTCAACCACCATAATAGGAGTGAATGGTAACTAAGATTTTGAAGCCCAAAAAAGAACACTCCGGGGGAGTGTTACACAGGGGGTTAATGAAGGCCTTTTCAATCGAAGCGATGCATATTTCTAAGAAAATATTAATATGAAACTGGAATCATGGCCATATTTATAACTTTATAAACTATAATCACTGGCTTCCGGAAACGGCCGTACACGAGTCGAGTTCCTAACCGGACAAATGACATATTGACGAACACGTTGGATGGCTCGAGGGTGAGTAAATTATGGGATAATTTTTATTTTTGGAGAACTAACCCATTAAGAGTTAATGTACAGTCAGTAAGTATGATTTATTGCACATAAATGGACATGAAATTGATCTGAGCTGAAACTATTTTATTCAGTGAGAAAAAAGATGTGATGCGACATGAAACTGGCATATTGTAGGAAATTAGTTGGCACTACTCCAAATCAATGGCTATTATACAAAAAAAACTGACCAATCAGAATCAAGTGTTCCAGAAAGACATGTGATAAACATAAGCATGTATACATGTGTATTCATACTTCGTATACTGTGTCGAGGCACATTTCTGCAGTATGCACTTCTCTTTCAAACATGCAGAGAGGAAAAGAGGTCCATCCCGAGACCGTGTAACTCCTATTAGAGTCACTGGTGCTGCATATTGTGCTATCACTAACATCTGCAGACACACACACACACACACAAATGAGCCCACCGTGTGTCGGAGGGTGAGTGCATAGACTTGGATCTCAGCCATGCTCATGCATACCCATATAAACACCAACACAGAACATAAAAGCAGAGGCACGCCATGCCAATAAAATCTGCACTGTGGATACTTTTGCATCGCTTGAAGATGATCTTTAAAAACACTTATGGAGCAAACACAGGGCACTTTGATTGATGTTAAAAGAGAACATTCTTTGAGGTGAAAGTGCACCCGAAAAGAACCACATCCTCCTCTGGGAAGACTTTAATGCAAATTGTTAAATATTTTAGTGAAAAAATAAAAAAAACCTCTCAAATCAGGTCATTGTTTATAAAGGCAGAAACATCAGAAAAATCCACGTCCAGTGCGTCCACGGGGAACGAGACATCAGAATGTCTCGAAACTACAAAATCTCATCATTATGGATGAGCCAGAATGTGAGACATTCAAAGCAACGAGCCACAGAGAAGTGGCTGATGGTAATGCATACAGTATTTCGGCACCTCTGAGGCTCAGATATTGCAGAGGAGTCTCATCTTCAGGCACTTCAGAAACACAAATTCAGTAAAGAGGCTTTCAGCGTTCCAAAGCCACACACAGAATATTAATCATGGCAATGTCACACACTCTGCAGACACTAATACATCCCTGCATACCAAACAGCTAATGAGTTCACAGAAATAAAGCAAACAAAGGGCATTATTTATAAAAGTTTTCTTCTATTTCTGGAGAGAGAACACAGAGAAAGAGACTTTCATTCAAACAAACCCAACCCAACCCATCCCGTTTCACTGCTGACATTCCTCCCACCAAAACACCCTGCTAACACACACTCTACCACTCTGATAATGCACATTTTTTAGCACACAAAATTGACAAACTTTTCCAGCTAGCATGCATTTAGTGTGGGTAAAGATGAACTTTAAATTAGATTCTAGTGGTTTCAAGTGCAAGAAAACTCTCACCCACAGGAAGTAATTTAAGGACATATCCTAATTTAAGGACAAATCATGCAGTCTAGGGAGGTAGTAACTGAAATCAGGGTGTAAAACCCAATGACATTGGCTACATCTGCATGATATTTTTCTATGGATGATAACCATATCATCACAAATATAAAATTTTCATGTTTGCAAAACCTATATTTAGTATTACAACCCTTTTAGTTTGTATCGTTACACATGGAAGCAATCCTGTGAGTTGCTTTGGAAAGAAAAACGAAGGAAAATGTATCCGTAATATAAACTCCAGAACAGACAATCATCACTGTTATATGTATGCACGTTCTTTAAATCTCTCCCAGAAGAATGTATGTTTTTTTTCAACAGATATTCAGCAGCATGGCATTGCTCTGCTAATTGTCATGTTAATGTGTAGAGACATCTAATTAGACATCAAATTAAAATCCGCTTGGATTGTCATTACCGCAAGTATCACGGTCATTTACAAACTGCTGTTTGAGTCATTTGCGTCCTGCTGCAAGTCTCCTTAAAGGGACAGTTCACTCAAAAATGAAAAATGTGTTTTCATTTACTCACCCTCAAGTTGTTCCAAACCTGTACAAGTTTTTTTTTGTTGTTGAACACAAAGATAATATTTTGAAGAATGTTGGGAACCAGATAGTTGACGGTAGACATTGACTTCCATAGTATTTTTTTCCCTACAGTGGTAGTCAACTGTCTGGTTCCCCAACATCAAAAATATCTTCTTTTGTGTTCAGCAGAAGAAGAAAAAGAAGTTTAGAACAACTTGAGGGTGAGTAAATGATGACAGAATTAACATTTTTGGGTGGTGTAATTGCTCTCCACGAACATCTAATCTGTAACTTTGACATGAGACTACAAATCTGCTATAAGCAAATATAAGATATTGATATAAGCCAGAGATATCTACGAAAACATTATGGAAGTATACTAAAATAATATTAAAGCTAGTTAGCTTACAAAAACTATCATCAGTACATCCTTGACAGCTTACAAATATTGCAGTCTCAATCACTGATCAATTAGAAAATAATAATAAAATTTATAATAATTACTATAAATGTGAAAATGTTTTAAGTCATACTCCTATATATAATAAATAAAATATAAAATATATAAATTAAAACATGTGAATATTAAATATTATTTTTTTAAAATCTATACATTTCCATAGTGTAGAAGTTTGTAAAAGATCAGTTTGTTTTGGCATGTAAATAAAATCATGCCGTGTATGTATGTTCAATGTTTTACACATTAAATTAAAGAATTTATAAATTATTTATTTTATACAAAATTATATTATCTATAATAAACTTGAATATGCTCTATGTGTTTAATTCCAAACGTATGAGTTGTCTTGAGCTAATTTGTGACTAGTTTCCATTTCCATTCTAAATTTAAGACAAGGATCGGAGGTATTTTGGTAATCTTGTACAAGCCACTTCCATACAAAGCTAAATGCAGAAGTACAATCTGCATGTGAGACATAAGTTATGAAGCGGCATCTATTTATAGCACTGGGAGTTTTTTGACAAAATTCATAATTCATCAATGCTTAGGAGTACAATATTTATGAAGCTGTCAAGGAATTATTACTTTTCAGAATTACAGTGGTGTAAGTTCTCCATAAAGAAATCTTGAGTTAACTTTCATGTTGCTCTTTCAGCCCCAGCCCTCATGACTGACTTATTAAGATCACTATATCCATATAAGCAAGATGAGAGATGCACACATTTCTTGACTGTGTGCAGCTCATTAGCGGGCTGAAAGCAGCGGGGAACAAGAGCTGGGTTTCTCTCAGCATGCTGGGTGCCTAAACCAAGAGATCAGGATATGCAGTGGACCATGGTCTCACCAGCAGAGCTTTCACAGAGCATAAGTAAGCATTTGTCCACTCCATATTTACCTCCCCCGGCCTTAAAATTGGCATGACCATGCAGGCAAAGTATGTTTTTTTTTGTCCCAATATGACAGATCTTGGTACTTACTGGCTTGCATCAGCTGTCCTTGCCGGCCGAAGACCTGGGAAAAGGTGGTGGGAGTACAGGTGAGAGTGTTCTCCATGGTTGGGATGTCCCACTAGGCTTGATGGGTCAGTCTCCGAACGACACGCCACGCAGAAAAGCCCCGGTTTGCCTTCACTTCCCTATGAAAACGTCAGCTGGAGCAACGTTGCAGCTGTGTAAGAATAGCACAGAGGTTTCTGCTCAGGACGGAGAGAAATAGCCTCACTCACATGCAAGATAATGAGGGAGTGTGTCTGTGTGCGTCAAGGAGAATGAGTGAGAGTGTGTGCGGAGAGCGAGCTTGAAAGAGAGAGAGAATCAGAGCAATGATGTCTTGCCTTTTCCTGCAGCTCTGTGATCATGTGTTGAGGTTGTGCCTCGCTGGCAGGTTTCTCCAGAGTCTTGAAGCTCCTGGTCCAGTGTGCTCTGTCCTGCTAACTGAGTGAGAAGCCTTCGGTTCCCACAGGCTCAGGGTGGACTGCCGTTTGTTGTGCTCTGATCGGGTGCGTGTGCCCTCTTCTCTCCTCCCTCTGCCTCGGCTCTACCCCTCCCTTTCATTGCTTGCTCGCTCCTCTCTCATCTCGATGATCCGTTTCATAAGAAGCGCGGCTGCAGGGAAAAGATTTTTTTGCAACTCTTGCAGCTCTACTTTTTAATTCCTCCCCCTGTGGAGGAGAGAGGAGAAGTTGAAAAGGAAAGTTCATTTTGGGTGACTTACCTAAGGGTGGGAAAAATTACAATTGACACACAATGAGAAATCTTTAGACGGAAACTTATTATGGGATGTGTACAGTGACACCCAACATGTACACTAAAAAAGTAGGAATGTCTCTGTAACAAAATATCAAGGAAAAGGGAAGCCTATCATGCTACTCGTGACATCGTCACACATATTCAAAACATTCTTTTCTATATTCAACCAAACCATCTAAATGTAAAATTTGTATAGGGCTCACATTTTCAACTTGGTATTGCTTTATTTTAACGTGACGTAGTCACAGGTTTTGTAGTTATATTACAAGCAACTAACCCTAAATAAAACCCTTATGCTTAACCCATATTACTGTTTACCGAACATAAAGCGTTACCTTCCATTTTCCTTGTGACAATCGTCCGAGCAGTGAAAGTCCTAGATTTTTACTTCGTACTAGTACTTCGTATACTTTGTTCTTTTATAACCTTTGGGAAGAGGAAACACTTCAGCATTATTATTTTTTTAGCTCTTTTCCCATTCGCCTCAAGAGGAAGTGCAAGTGTAACCATATCCCCGTTTTTAAAAGGAAACACGGTCAATCTGGTGTTATGCAACATCCAGCTACATCAGCTTGTCCGTGTAGTTGAAAGGTGACTGGTTTCCACAAGGACATCATGCGGTGTCAAAATGGTGAAATAAGATGTGATTTTACATTCTTTTCTTCCTTTTCTATCAACAAAACTCTGAAATTTAGTTGTGACAAGAGGCACAGTTAGTTTCACAGCTTCTAACTGACAGACCAGGCAGATGCCAAGTGGCTGGAGCTCGCTGGAATTAATTCCCTCTGGCTAACTGAAGGTTCGCTCAAATCAAATTCTTTTTGAACGTGAACTGAAGAGACATGCAGATAGTAAGCTGTCAGCTGGGAAGGGTAGAGCTGTTCCTCCTATACACTTCCCTGCCAGAACAGATCACTCTCTCTCCCTGCCGAGGAGTGATTCTGTTCTCTCATTTTCAATGTTCTTCGCTCCCCTCAGAGAGGCAGAAAGGTATTGGATAGCATGTTCATCAGCACAAACCTATCCTCGACCTACCTAGTTATGTAAGGCAATGTTATTTCTAATGGTCTCTGAACGTAAGGAAGTAATATTTTGCAGCAATACATATCAATAAAACTAGTAGCAATAAGGTCGAAATCCACAAGAGATCAAAAACTCATTTACTTAATGAATGCAAGTTATTGGTCTTAATAAGAACAATTCATTGGTGCATATCAACGAGTTTAAACCAAAATCGTGCTGTTCTGAAATGACTTACTTTTTCCACAGATGTCATCTGGGCCACACAGACAGGCTACCGGTTAATGTTAACCAAATGCCAAAATTGAGGCGGTTAACAACTTCGCAATATTCTGCCGTTTCATAATTCAGTCAATTCCTATGATAAATCCAATAAATGTAATGTAATTCCCACCCCCATTTTTTTTTTTTTTTTTGATTTTTAAACTCAAGTTTGAAGGATAGCAAATGCTATTAAACATTTTAGCATTAACAGAAAAAATAAAACAGATTTTAAAATATTTAATAAAACGTAGGTCTGGAGAAATTATAAAGGAGATGATTTCTAACCTTAGCGTCACTTCCTCATCTTAATGTAATGAATCGACCAACTCGGAAGCTGCACTGGGCTGCATTTTTATGACTAGGGCTATGCCACCTTGCACAGCAGTCAGGATTAACTGAGGCAATACTTCATCCTGTCAAGCTGAGCATATCATCATGCCCCTCTTCTCCCCAATACACAGCATGAAGGAACCATAAAGAACGCTACCATGGCATGGGGGAAATTTAAACAAGATTTGCTCTCCCTGCTACATAAAAGATCCATCCTGTGACAGAACAAATTTGCACTCAATATTGTATTCTTCATTTAAATTGTGGCAAGACAGATGGTTAGAAGTGTCCTTACAGCTAGTATTTAGTCAGGGTTACCCAGCCTAGAAGAGAACTCTATTTCACTCTAATGGCTTTTTTGATGGTCAAACACAAGAGTCTTAAAGCCACAATAAACTTGAATCTTGCTAGAGAGATCAAGCTCTCGATTAAGAAGACAGGTTCAATTTCACAAGCCAGGCGATTTAAAGAAAACGTACTGATATCGGACATGGACAAAAAGAAACTGAATGTGATTGCGTACTAACAGAAATAGGTAATGCAAGTCAGTAAGCAATGCAGTCAATGAATAGTGATATGCATATGATCAAAACTAAAGATTGAAAAGACATTTGTGAAAAAGTAATTTGACAGGTACCTTATCTCTGTATACATTCAGAAGTATCACTGAAGCAAACTAAATGCTAATATATCAATTAAGACGATGCATTTTACATTTGTGAAGGTTATTATTTATAATCACAAAACACTGCCAACATTTCATTCCCAAAAATATATCAATGCAGGACAGCAGACATACTGCAAGATGGAAATAATTGTTTCAAGTTCCTTGCTTGAAAAAACATTTCAAGCATTCAGATCTTGTTTAGATACCTGTCCTCATTGTCCAGGTTGTAGAGTGAAAATGACATGCCAGAGACAAGCTTAGGAGTGAGAGGGATTGCTCTGTCCAAAAGCAGAAAATGCATCAGTTCAAAGCTTGCCAGGAGGTAGACCACTAAGAATTAAGTGCAGTTGATGTTATATTAAAGCAGAGGACTTATCCATTTTATAAAATGAGAAACAATAAAAAACAAAACATTTGTGTAATGCTTGGTTACCAAAAAGTCTGAGTGCTTGTGATGGCGTCATGGCAATAACGGCTAATCATACTAATAATGCGACATTAACTAGGTCTTAATAAACTGGAAGCAAATTTCTGAGGTTGACTAAGGGTGTGACATACATGCGCATAAACATACCAGTGAAAATTAAAGGTGTTTTAAGTTTTCAAGCAGGTGTCATCACATATTGTAAAATTACCTCAAACTTTGAGATATCCATTAAAGGCAAATTAGCCTAAATAAAGTGCTTTTCATAGAAACAAGCAACCTGATTTACCAGATCACTAATATGCAATATGTATGTAATAGGCAATTACATAATTTGGGTTGTAATAATGGCACTTACAACTTTTAATTGATCTAATGCAAGTGCAGAAGACAGTTCGTCATTCCCAGTTGAAGTTTTAGTGTAATTTTAATGGCCAGCAGCCCTGCTGTAGAATCTGTAGAAAAAAAAACAGAGAAAGAAAAGAATAAAACGGCTTATGGTTTTGGCTGGTTCAGGTGAAGGTCGAACAACTTTTACATACAGCAAACCGTTCTCTCCAGCTCACTCTGACTGTATCAAACAGCTCATTTCATTAACGGTGTCAAAATAAACAAAAACATCAACAAAGTAAAAACAAAAAAAAGCCTCACAGATTAGGAGAGCCTCAGTATGATAAACATTCCCTGTGGAGGATTACATTTACTTAAATATACATATATATACTCTTCTTCAAATAATTTCTCTCAGTAAAAGAGGAGCAGGGCAAAATGGAGTACAGACATGAAGAAAGGATCAGTCCAATCAAACTGTATACAAAAGTACATGCATTAGAAGACTGCTGAATCCGAAAAGCTCACAGATTAAACATGGTCAATCGGCCAAAGAGAAACTGTTGAATGATTGCCTCTTGCAATATCTTAAAACCAGAAGGTCAATATTTATAAATATTACATAAGTAATATTATGGTTGATTGAGATTTATTTATTTATCATACTCTTCAGTCCATCTGGGGTGGGGGTAAGACATCCAAAGGATTATTTAGAAAAGTGCACAGAGAAGATACTTCCGATGGGCTAACACAAAAGATGAGCAGATAGATAACTCCTGGTTCCCCTGAACCTTCAAGGCTATGATCAAGGTAATCCAATTCAGTTGAAAGAAGTTCCCCTTCCAGTCATTGACTCAAGCAATCGTTTAGAGAATGTGGAGTTCTACCTGGCTAACTTCAATTGAGACTCCTGAAATAAACATAAGAGAAAAAACACGAAATCAAAAACTCATAACTCATACTATAAAAATGTAACTATATGGCAATGTAATTTCTGCATTACCTCAGGCTGCTCTGGTTCATGGTTTGAGAGGTCTTCAGTCTTCACTTCCAAAGGAGCTGAAGCACTAGCAATCTGTACGCTGCGTGTCACCGGCCCACCTTTTCTCTCCCGCGTCCTTGCTGAAAAACGCTCCTCCTTTTTAGACTGATGCGTTTTCACAACAACATCCTTCTTGACAACAACCTCCTTCTTGATAACAACTTGCTTCTTGACAACAACCTCTTTAGATCCACGCTGCATCTTAGAAGGTGGATGTGTTGAAGAGTCATCAGGAACTGCAGGAGCTATGGAAGTCAGTGGCTCATTGTTCTTTTTGCCTTTCTTAGTTTGTGGGGCAGTGTTGTCCATGTTCAAGGCTGGCCTCTTTGAACGTACCAGAGGTTCTTTTCCTTTAATTACTAGTAGAGCTTCATTCTCAATTGGCTCAGAGCTCCGGGCTCTGGTTTTCCCTAAAGGCTTTGCGCTTGATCCAGAACCTGCCTCTTGTTTGACTTCAGACTCATTGGCTCGACTCCGGAGGCTCCTGTTTTTGTCTTGAGGCATCAGTGCACCTTTTTTCAATTTCTTGGCAACAGGTCTTTGTGGACAACTGCAAGCAACGTGTTTAGCGAGGCTGGCTGGGTATGTGAACTCTCGATTACAGTATGGGCATGCATGGACCTCATGAGTCTCCTCTTCTTTTACCCGGGTTGGCGGTTTCTTTGCAGAGGCAGCAGACTTGTTCTTCTGAGATATGGCTTTCTGGACAAGCTGGTTTTTCTTTTTATTGAGGGCTGATAACTTTGCTTTAGAGGTTATATCTTGGTTAAAGTTGAGCCTTTTTGGTTGACCCATTCTGCGAAAGGCATTCTGCCCAGTAGAAGCTCCAGTGGTGGAAAGACCATTTGGAGATTGTTTCACAACTTGTTTGAGAGGAATGGGATTCTTCTTAGGGGTGTAGCGTCTCTTATCACTAGCATTAGCACAAACTAATATGTGTTTATGTAGCTCTGGCATGTTGTCAAAGCTGTTTCCGCATTTGGTACACCGGATCGCAGTGCTAAATGTTTGGGGGATGTTGTGTGTGGTAAAATTAGTGGCGGAGGCAACAGAGCCATCAGGTGTTCTGTTGTGGTACGGGAAAGGTGGAGGCTTAAAGCTGGGGTAGTGTTGATTAATGCCAAGCCGCACATCTGGACCTTTCGGTTTACCAGCCTCAGATGCCATAATCTTTATTGTAGTGTATAGTTCTTCTGTAGGGTCCTCATGGCCATTTTCCTCTCCTTCCACCTTATTAGTGTCATTGTTATGCTCCTCCAAAGAATCCTCAGCATCAAAAGAATCTTTCTCCACATTTGTGTAAGCAGGATCCGTGTAGTTCTGAGGTCTGAGCTTCCCGTTTTCAACGGCAGTGTGACTGCAATTCTGACTTGGATGTAGGTCACTTTGATGTTGCTGGAGATTGCAGAGGAAGGCAAACTCCTTTGAGCAAATGGAGCAAACATAAATTCTTCCCACCCCATGGAGAGAGGAGCGGTGCTCGAGGAGTGCGGTGGCATTGCCAAATAACTGAACGCAAAACTCGCACTTAAAAGGCCACTCTGACGCATGCTCTATTATATGGCCACTAAGGTCTTTGATGGAGCGAAATGGCTCTTTGCAGACGTTACACACAAAACTCTTGACAAAATTCTCGCGCTCTGGTGTTTCAACGTCACAATTTTTGACTGGAGTCCCAGGTGAAGTGTCACCTCCATTTGTTATATCAACCGGCTCCTCTTTTTTCCCTTTATCCTCTTCAGGTAAGTTGTTATCGACCTCTGAACTCTTTTGTGGAGAACACAATTCACTGAGGAGGTTTGGTGAAGATTCATTAGTAGTTGATTGTACTGTAGAAAGAGAAGGCTCTGATTTGTGTCTATCTTCTGCTTTAATATTGAGGTCTTGGGGGAAAGTTCCTTCAAAGGAATGGCTTTGGCTGGTTTCAGAAGCAGTATCCCACTCTAGGTGAGAAGAATCTGCTTGGTCTGCATTTCTTAAAAACTGAGGCTTAGAATCATGGGTTGAGCCCTCAAGTAGTGTTTCTGACTTTGAAGATGAATCTGCTGTACAATGTCTTTTTGCATCCTGAGGCAGTGGAGAAATCACACGGTCTAATTGCTCAGCAGTTTGGTCTGATTCATTATTGGAATTTAATGTTTCATGGTATGATTCTGTTAATGCAGATGAATCAGACACTTCCTCGAATCCATCAACTGCTTTTGGGGACATTTTAGGGGACAACACTGGAAAAGGGGTGGGTGATGAGGTGTCTGACATGTGAAAATGCTGCGAAGATAGAGGCGGAGGAGATGGGATAGTGGGTAAGACTGGAGGAGGGGGAGTAGATGAAGCTATACTAGAGGAGGATGGAGAGGATGGATTAATAGTCATAGGGGTCAGGGAGGGAGGAGAGGTTGATTCACAAGGAAGGTGCTCTGATCCTGATCCAGGACTAGAAGGGGCTACACACGTGGCACTCTCAGAAGACGAAAGGGCGTCAGGACTTCCAAGAGTGTTGGATCCTTCTTCTCCAGGTGAGTTTAGGCCAGCATACTCGTTCATTAACACTTTTTCTAAAATGCTGGTATTAGGTTTTTTCCTCTTCACATGAGGTGGTAGTGTGGCTGAGCATGTCTTTACTTCATGGTCAACAGGACTTTTACGGTTCATACTTAAGTCAAGCACAGCCTCTCCAGATCCTCTGCTTACACTATTGTCTCTTTTACTGTAAGAACTTGAAAGGTCAAGCGGCTGCTGATTGCAAGAATTCCCACCACTTCTTGAAGGAGACCAGTCTTTTCCTGTCAGGGAACTTTCAGTGTCCCCATGATCACTGCTGGACAAACTCCAAGAATGAGTCATGCAGTGGCTCTCAATCTTTGGCACCTTTAGAGAACATGAAACCACAGAGCTCATGTTGTCATTTCTTTGTGGTGGGCTACTCTGTGAAGCTGTGGGAGGGGAGGCGGTTCTTCTTTTAAACCTACCTTGGACAGCAGGCAGTGAAGTTACGGAAAGTGGGGTGGTCAATCTATTATCAGTAATTAGACCTATGGCTGTTTTCTGACCATCCGGAGCCTGTAGTAGTTGTTTAAGTTTCGGAGAGAGATAAACCGTTTTCTCCTTTTGAAAAGCTAACGTTTCGGTGGACTGGGAGAAAATGTTTCCTACCAACAAAGAGGACTGGGAGGAAGGGGAGGACAATGAGGAAGAGGAGGACACTGTTTCAGCCTCCACTTTCACAGCAGGCAGCAGCGGTGGTGTAGCAGTTCGCCTTTTAGAAGTTGTCAGAGACATGCATGAAACTTCCTTCACTGGACAAGTCTGTGTTTCAACTTTAAGAGCATGACTTATTTGTTTGGGACTCAAAATAAGAGCATCAAGGCCAAACAACGCTGCAGTGCTTGAATCAACCTCGATTACCTCACAATTGCTCACTGTGCTTGTAGATGGTATTTTTCCATCAATGTAATGGCTGAGATTTTCAGAAATGTTGTTAGAGATATCAACCATACACTCTTCCCGCTCTCCCTCATCCTCTGTCTCCACACTGGGCACATAAATGGGTGGTGGACTGGCACTTGGTGACTCTTCCTGGAGCAAAACGGGCTGCCCTTGTTCATGGTGCTGGTGTTGGGAGGAGCCGTCCTGCAGGAGTATACCTTTCCGGCGAACACCTTTAGGCATTAGATGCCGCTCATGGATTCTACGCTGGTGCCTGCGCATGTTGGTGTGTGTGCCAAAAGCCTTATTACAGTACTTGCAAGGATGAAGCTCTTTTGACTCCCCATTCTCATCTAAAATAAAAGGCCGGTCAGATTCAACACCAGGCTCTTTTTTCAAATAGTCAGAGGTTAGCTGAGGAGGACCGTTCTGTGTGTTCATAACGACCGCATGGCTTGGAGTGGACGCACTGCCAGAAGTAGCAGAATCATTGGGCATTGTAGGACTGTGGAGGAACGCTGTTCCGCTGAGTGCCCCAGGCCTATTTAAAGTTTTACTCCCATTCTCATGTCTACGTTCATGTCTGCGCCTGCCTACTTGAGAGCCAAACGGCTTGGCACAGTACCGGCACTTAAACGTATGAGTTTGAAGGTTTGAAGTAGTGTGAATATGAGTGTGGCGCTCCAGGCCCTGTTTGGTGGAGAAATGACGCTCGCAGTGCTGACAGGGGTACGTTTCTCCCTGGGGGTCTTCCTCAAAATCCCCATCTGCCTCCAACTCAGCATTCGCTAAAGAAGATATACACTCTGTATCACACAGTGGACTCTCAGAGCTTTCTTCTGCAGGTTTACCCGAATGTAATTGCTGGAGAGACTTTTCATTCCCATCAACCGATTCTGCCTCAGAGGGGTGCTGTGGGCACTGATTTAACAGTTGCCCATCAACCTTTACATGTTCCTCATCCAATCCTTCCCTCTGGTTCATCTCTGTTGTGTGAGATAGGACAGGATTTTCACTTTCTATAGAAGTTGACTGGGAAACTGCAATCTGTTCCAACTCTGGAGGTGAAGATGGTCTTTCCTCATCATTAAGCCCTGAATCACAAGAAAAATATATTTAAATAATAAACGGTGCAATTCAAAAAGGGTCCTCACACCATTGGTGCTCTGCCCCTAAACACTGCCTGTGTAAAGCACTTTACATTTGACACCAAATCTCAAAGTGCTACACTAAAATATAATTAAAAATAAACATAAACAATACAGTTTGACAGATATTTAAACTCAAAGGACTTACGCTTGTAATGCATGCGCTTGTGTAAAAACAAACATCCCCCTCTTCACACACGTCAAATACACAGGAATGATTATCGGCCCAATTTTGACATCGGAACGATACCGATGCATAAAAATTTTACCATATTGGCCGATATTAATTTGGCGGCCGATGTATCGTGCACCACTAATTAGAAATGTATGCAAATCAAAAAAGTCTCTGTTAAATTAAACTGTAAGTGTGGACGTCCTTTAAAAAATAAATAAAAGAGCAATAATTCTGACTGAAACATTCCTTTTGGTGAAATAGTTGTTGGACATTAACTTTAAGTTTAAAATTTTACATGTAATGGTATTTTGGTAGCCTGGATGCCAGCCCGAACTCCACCCACAACATTTTTTGGTCGGGAAGTTCGGTCTGGACTCGATCCATTGAGGAGTAATTATGATCAGACAAGAAACGTTCGGGCCAATCAAATTGCCAGGGGAGAATTGATATGTATAGATTCCCCTGTCGCGTCTGTTGTGAAATAAATCAACAGCGCATTAATTTTTATAGACAAACAGAGAACTGCAATCAATGCATTTGTCGATCGGAAAGATATCTTTGCAGTCCTTCCTACTTGATTAGGCAAAAGTGCAACTTATCAGCTGGCTCTGACAGTTGCTAAGAAGATGTGACGTAATGAAAAGCCTGTGGTCGTTGTGGTTTCTCTTTTGGTCGCACACATGGAGGAGTAAGTAAAAGAATCAACACTCGTTATTTTACTTCTAAAATAAGTAAGTTCTGTAGCTGAAAACTGCGCTATGCAAAGTTGTTGAGTTACTGCGTTGCTCTGATTGGTTGTAGGTTTACCGACTATCCAATTGAGTGCAGAGGTTGTTTTTTTCCTGGTTCGGTTAAGACCTCATAATCAAAGCCCTATGGAGCAGATTCAGACTCATATTCTCACTAGAATATGAGTATGACAAAGTCAGGCTAGTATTTTGGTCTTTTAATGAGAGAATTAAATGTAAAAGGTATATTTTATATTTATATTAAACTACTTTGCACAATATATATTACAGCCTACACTCCAATTGTTTTCATAGCATTCAATTTGCACATTGTTTGGAAGACAATTTTGGGCAAGATGTAGAACATGCTTTTCATTCAAACACAGAATAAATAAAATTTGGTGTTTTTGAATCCATTAAACCACTGAAAAATGACACATTAATTGATAACTGTTAGGAGCCCTACTTTTAACCATAACAAAACATATTATGATTGAGCTGAAAGACTTGTGAAGTGAACAGCACAAATCCCTGCCAGAGGCAGATGAAAAGCATAACCTACCTTCCTCTGAGTCCCGCATCACTGTGAATAAGGGTTCAGCGGCACTCAATTTCTTCGGTTCACAGAATCCACCCAAATCAGCCTGTCTGGCTTTTTCCGACAGCTTCCTCCTTGCTTTAGGGAGAAACAAATATGTTTTTAGTAAAAAATAAATAAATAAATAAAATACAAAATAAAAAAGGAGACAACCTTCAAGAGTTAGTAAAGCCAGCAAAAAGCAATTAATAAAGGTTTAGGTTTCCTTTCATGGCCGTCAAAGTCAAAACCTACCTGTACAATAATTTAATGCAATGATTTTTCATCAAAGAGCAACAAATAAATAAACTGAAAACTATGAACAACCAAGATTTGTAAGAACATCTGGTACATTAACTAGAATAACCTGCAAGATCCAAAACAAGTATTTCACTGCCACCGCCTTCTTTTCTAAACTAGCAGCTCACCACAAAACCAGACTGACGTCTCAGTAACTTCAGCATTGTGCGAAAATTTAAGTTTAAGGGATAGATTCACCCAAAAAATTAAAATTCTCTCATCATTTACTCACTCACATGGTGTAACTAACCTGTATGACTGACTTTGTGTGGAACACAAAACAAGATATTCTGAAGTACATTGACTTTTATTGCATGGGTGAAAAAAAAAAAAAAAAAAAATTGAGACATCCTTTAAAAAAATCTCCTTTTGTGTTGCATAGAAAGAGAAAAAGGTTGTACAGGCTTTGAGTGACATGATGTGAGTAAATGACAGAATATTTCTGTTTTGGGTGAACTGTCCCTGCTTTGATGAAGTATAAATACTGCATAATGACATGTAGGCTAAACGTTTTTTTTATATACATTTACACAATGGATCACAGAAATTGTCACAGCCAAGCAAAGAAACCAGCTATCAGCTGCTGTCCTTGTGACAAGGTCATCTGGGAACATCTTATACAAAACACAATTCATAAAACAGACATGCTGCTAACTTGGTCATCTGACCACACTTGTCAAGTAGTCATTCCCACATATCCACACCCAACTCTGTCCTTAAATGCTATTCTATTATCATTTCATGTACACAATCATCATGAACATTTTCAAACAAAATTAACCACTGCATATTTTAAATCCCAAAACAACATGGTAACTGCAATTGTCCTTAATGTACCCATACATTTTTACGATGTCATTTGACTGTGGTTTTTGTCAGATAAAGGGCTGATATGCACATAATATAGTTATAATGTGCTTTGACTTGTTAATAACAGCACAAGGTTCACTGTCAAATTGTTTAGCACTAAACTTAAAGGCTAAAAGACATTCTCATTTACAACATACAATTTAAACAAACAAAGAAAACATCATATCCTTCAAAACTCCAAACAATTTCCCCTAACAGCAAACTGTTGGATCTCATTAAGGGGTCAAATATTTCAAGAACTCCTTTACTCATGTCAAACCTTTCTTTTAAAAATATTGCGTGCTAAATTTAACCATCATGCAGCACTTGTCATTGAAAAGGGGAAAGTCAAACGACCATATACTCAATGGAACGACCAGCAAATGCTATTTTCCTCTTCTTTTAGGTGGGACAGTTCACCTAAGTTCACCTAGTGGGACTTATTAAAGACAGTTCAGACCAAATATATACATTTAAAGTCAAATATATATGTGTGTAATACAAGTATAATAAGTAAAAGTTTATTAAAACACGTAAAAGCTTAGGCACCGAACTTAATACAGTGATGTGTGACAAATTATTTAAAAAAATGAGCTATGGATGGACGAACAAACAAATGAGACACTCATACTAGGAGCTTTTAGAGGTGAAACTTTGTATTTATGTTATGGCTCATTTAGGTCTCATTCAAAATGCTTTGCGAGGAGGGTCTCGAAGGTCATCTCTGACAGACAAGGGCTGTGTCTCCAAACAATAACATGGAGAGCTGTCTATCTAGGCTAGATGACATGTTTGGGCATCAAAGGCGGGTTTGAAATCTTTCAAACGTGCTGAATGCAATGCTGGACCGTGCCCGTGATGCTCAAAATGCTCTCTAGGCGAGAAGTTCGTAGAGTTTGAGGCACTGAAATAAGGTCCGAGTCTGCAAGGCGGCTAACTGAGCCGTTCAGCAACATGAGGAAGAGTACATTATATTCATCGAACTTTGGCTCTGTCACGGTGTGTTTTTCTGTTAAACAAAGCTGCTTAAATCAGAACGTCATCTAAAGTTATAATTCCGGTTTCTAAATAATCTTCCTATAAAATGGGAGAATAGCCAGGTGGCTAACATGCTAGCTCCAGCTAACGACTGCGAATTCTTCCGAATAGAATAAACATATGTTCTCGGACACTAATTAGACACTGATTTTTATCGTGGGTGAAACTGCAGGTAGTAGCAGGAAGAGGTGGTGTTTTCATTTTACCTCGCTTTGCTCTAGGTGAACTCTTCTTGCTCAGGTTGCTAGTCCTTTCTTCCTCTAATGCAGCTGCTATCTCAGGATTGTCTTCCCCATTGTACCACACTAGAAGTTCTTCGTCGGGTCCGATTGGCTGACGGAGAGTAGACGGACCAATCAGAGTCGAGGTTTTTGGTATGCCATAGGATGAAATACTAGCTAGGCCTAGACGCTCTGTCAGGCATTTAGAAACAGATCCCAATAACAAACAGGAGTGCCGTATGAGCAAGCTTTATAACATTTTAATTGACGTTAAATATGCTTTGTTCATCTGTCAAGTATATTAAATGTAGAAGATGCATTTAAAAGGGAAAAAAAGGAATTTCATTTGGTACATCTATAAAATATTTACACAAGTTTAATGTGCATAAATGTAAGCTGGATTTTGTCCCAGATTACTACTTTTCAAATATCCATGCCACGCTATGCAATTAAAATTGGAGTTTTGTTTTATTTAGTCCATTGAGTGCATCTATAAACTAGTGTAGGGGTTCTCAAACTGTCCTGGGACCCCCAGGGGGGTTGCAATAGGGGGCTGGGAAGATTACAGTGAAAAATAAAATATTAAAAAAACAAAACCAACAATACAATCATGATATTAGTCATGGCTATTCTTGACAGCCCTATTTTAACAATAACTAAATTAAATTATGTAAAAGCATTCATCTCTCCTTCCTTTGCAATGTACATTCTTTCATGAACAGGTTGTATTTGTGTTGTAAGAGAAAATACATGGTTTATCTTTGTTGCCGTTTCCTACGTATAATAAAACAATATCTAATTACTGTGATAAGACCAAATCTCTTTGCGTTATACATCCAACATTAATAGTAGTATTTTAAAAAAAATAATGTCATTAAGTTAACACTAGAGAATTAAGAAATTATTTTACATTTTGTTTACATTTACAAAGTATTAGTTTGTACATACAACATAGTTTTAAAACACCCAAGTGTTATTTGTAATCTATTACTTTTATAGCAAATCTGAATTTTCAGCATCATTACTCCAGTCTTCAGTGTCACATGATTAATCAGAAATCATTATATTATGTTGATTTTCTGCTCAAGAAAGATTTTAAGACTTATGATCATCAAAGTTAAAAACTATGACACTTTTTTCAGGATTCTTTGATGAATACAAAAATTTAAAAGAACACCAATGAAACACAAATCTTTTGTAATGTAAGTCTTTACTGTCACCTTTTTTACTGTCTATTCAATGCGTCCTGAATAAAGGTGTTAATTTCTTGTTACAAAAGTCATATATTGATCCCAAAGGGAAGGGAATCATATTTTAGGGATATTTACCATAAAAAGTTTGAAAACCCCTTTACTAGTGCACTACACCGCTGTATGCATCTTCTCCAGGCTTAATCTTTTTACATTCATAAAACATTAATTGGTGGAAATCAACATGGTGAAAATCGAACCAGTTCATCAGCTCTTACCCTTAACACTTTGTAGTAAATAGCTCTGTTGATTTCCAGTGGAAAGAGGTTTTGCTCTTGAGAAGAGCGTGCCCAGTTCACATACCGCAACCAGTTTCCTTTCATTGGATCTGTGGCATCAACACACATCCACCCCCAGGCTGGAAAATATACCTAATGATTGTGGAACAATATGCATTTCATTAAGATCCACCACTCAAACCTACACTACCACTCAAAGGTTTGGGGTCAGTAAATTGTTTTGGTTTTCTTTAGCAAAGATATCAGTAAATACATTTATAAATGTAACAAAAGTTTCTTTCTAGCTCTATATTCATCTATTCACCATAAAAATAAAAAAAAAAGCAGCAGAGCACCAGATCAGCATATTAAAGGGATAGTTCACTTTGAAATTAATTTTTGATATGTTTTAGCTTACCTCAAGGGCATCCAAGATGTATGTGTCTTTGTTTCCACAGTATTTTCAATTTTGACATTTTTTCAGTCAACCGTTGTTGTCTGCCAGTCATACACTGGAGGCTAAGGGGGTCCACCAAAAAGCATGCACAGAGAAGTCCAAATTAAACATGATTTAATGACTCGTAAGTACACATTGATAGCCTAAGACACAAAACGAGCGGTTTGTGTGAGAAAACTAACAGTATTTATATCGTTTTTACCTCTTGTAATCATAGCCATGACAAAATGATCTGACGGCACGGGCGCTTCGGTCTGCGCATGCGCCGGAAGTGATCGCTTGCGCGTCTACGTCACTCTTTGTTTATACAGAGATTTCGGAAGTTTTACCTTTCACTAAACATATTTATACGGGAAACCACAATGGAAGACGATTTCGGTATATCTAAATATGTTTAGTAAAAGGTAAAACTTCCGAAATCTGTGTAAATATTGAGTGACGTCACACGCAAGCGATCACTTCCAGCGTAACATTGAACTGATTCAGTTCAGTTCAGTTGGACATTGCACAACTGATTCAGATCACTTCAGATTACATGAGGTAAAAACGATATAAATACTGTTTGTTTTCTCACAAAAACCGCTTGTTTCGTGTCTTAGGCCATCAATGTGTACTTATATGTACGAGTCATTAAATCATGTTTAATTTTGACTTCTCTATACATGCTTTTTGGTGGACCCCCTTAGCCTCCAGTGTATGACTGGCAGACAACAACGGTTTGACTGAAAAATGTCAAAATTGAAAATACTGTGGAAACAAAGACACCTACATCTTGGATGCCCTTGAGGTAAGCTCAAACATATGAAAAATTAATTTCAAAGTGAACTATCCCTTTAAAGGAATAGTCTTTTCAAAGTCTTGTTCATTTGTTCAAAATGAGGCAATTCGTTCATTTCATTCATTGGATGAACCAAATGACACGAAAAAAGATTTGTTCATTTTGATAAACTAGTTTGAACAGGAGAGTCAGTAACGCACATCACAGAACAGAGCGAGGTGAGCATTTGAGCTTATAAAACTTAAACTTTTTTTTTTTTAAATGAGCGATCGTTTTACTTGATAAGACCATTCATCGGCTGGAATCGTTTAAAGCCCTTTGGACAGTTTGCAGTTTGCACTGAAACTATCTTTTGGACCTTGAACCGTTTGGCTACCAGTAAAGTGCATTATATGGAGAAAAATGTTTTCAAAAACTTTAATTTCTTTTCGACTGAAGAAAGAACGACATGGATATCTTGGATGACATGGGGGTGAGTAAATTATCAGCAAAAGTTTTTTTTGAAAGTGAACTACTCCTTTAAAATGATTTGAGAAGGACCATGCAACACTGAAGATTTTTAGTTTTTTTTTTTAAAACGGCAATCTACAGTTTTTACTGTATTTGTGATCAAATAAATAGAGCCTTGGTGAGCATAAGATACCTCTTTCAAAATCATTAAAAATCTTACTGACCCCAAACTTTTGAATGGTACTGTATATTGGTCCAAATATGCTTTGTGTTGATCAGTGTATTCAGACTTCTGCTGAATGGGATACCTAATACATACCTCCCACATGTAAACATTGCTTGTCACTTGAGATCTCTTCTTTCGTTCTCCAACAAATGGTCCAAACCTTTTGCCTTTAGGTATTAATCTAGATGCCCATACACCTGTAGAGAGATATTGACAGCATGTCCCGAGAAATTAAATATGAGCAAACACTGGGAATTTTATTTTCTTCACCATTCAAACATTAAAAAAACAAAATAAAACTGTTTTATTAGATGGATTGGATGGATCAGAATGAGCCACTTTAAGATCTCCTGAGACTCCATTTTTGGAGCATTCGATATTAAACATTTATCTGTATATTTCTAGGGCAGCATCACAGCGTACTGCGCATTCTCCAATTCAAACGTAGAACAAAACAAGACTGCAGTTACGTTATGTGCAACTCAATTGTTTAACATTATCAAAATGCTGACCAGCTAAACTGTAAGGCAACTGTCAAAAGTGATGGTTGTAGAGCAAAACAGGCAAACTTTGTAAATTCAAAGTCAAATACTTGAGACATCTCATAGTCTTTCAGCAAGCAGAGTTAAAATACAATACTGCAATAATGAACATGATTTCTCATCAACAGCATCATTTACAAGTACTCAGCCACGCTGTTACTCACCAATGCGATTTGGGTTAACAGCTGATGGTCCCAGTTTCATGCTGTTTGGCAGCCCTTTCCACACATGGGCTGGGATGTCATCCAAGGTTTCATACGCTCCTTGAGGCAAAGCCATTACAGCCTCAAAAACAAAAGGGGGCGATTTTACAATATGTTCCTTAACTGTATCACCATAACTAATACGCATGGTACTTGCTTTTAAAGCAAAAGTATGAATTTTCTGAGAGGAAAAGCATTTATACAACTTCAGGAAAAAAATTCTTTCGACCATACCTGCGGCAAGGATTTAACACTCGATTGAATTTGAGACTCCTAAGACTTTTCTTATTTCATGGATTCTGTAAAACAGAAAATAGAAGTGGTTATTTTACCCATGTAGAACAAATAATCCTCTATGTTTGTGAAGCATAACTTGTTTTGAAGCAATCCCAAAGCTGAAAGCATGAATAGACATGCTTTATAATCCGCACTAAACTCAAAGTCTCTGAAATATTCTCTTTTTGTTTATTTGAAGAGTTCAGATGCAAAAGCCTCTAAATGCCATTTGAAATTTTCTTCTTTAATGATGATTTTTATCAAACTTGTATATTTAAGTTCAGTAATTTCACTTAAATAACCATTTAAGTGAAATTACTGAACTTAAATATACAAGTTTGATAAAAATCTTCATTAAAGAAGAAAATTTCAAATGGCATTTAGAGGCTTTTGCATCTGAACTCTTCATTTACACTACCATGCAAACGTTTGGAGTCGTTATGAATTTTTCATAATTGGAACATTTTTCAGTTTTCTTTGGAAATACAGACCTGACTGTAAAGAATTTGAAATAAATGCTGTAATTTCAAACACTCAATTTATCAAAGAATCAGCTTTAGCTTTGACATTACAGGAATAAATGACATTTTAAAATGCAAGAATTTCACAGTATTGCTAGTATTTAAAGGAGTAGTTCACTTTTTAAAAAAATTTTGCTGATAATTTTCTCACCCCCATGTAATCCAAGATGTCCATGTCTTTCTTTCTTTAGTCGAAAAGAAATTAAGGTTTTTAATGAAAACATTCCAGGATTTTTCTCCATATAATGGACTTCAATGGGAACCAAACGGTTCAAGGTCCAAAAGACAGTTTCAGAGCAAACTGCAAACTGTTGAAAGGGCTTTGAACGATTCCAGACGACGAATAAGGGTCTTATTAAGCGAAACGATCGCTCATTTAAAAAAAAATAAAGTTTTATAATGCGCGTTCATACAAATCTTATTCCAAGTCAATTCGTTCATTTCGTTCGTTGAATCAACCAAATGATACGAAAAAAGATTTGTTCATTTTGATGAACGAGTCTGAATAGGAGAGTCACGAACGCGCATCACAGAACAGAGCAAGGTGACCATTTGAGCTTATAAAACTTAAACTTTGTTGTTGTTTTTTTAAACGAGCGATCGTTTCGCTTGATAAGACCATTCATCATCTGGAATCGTTTAAAGCCCTTTGAACAGTTTGCAATTTGCACTGAAAGTGTCTTTTGGACCTTGAACCGTTTGGTTCCCATTGAAGTGCATTATATGGAGAAAAATCCTGGAATGTTTTCATCAAAAACCTTAATTTCTTTTCGACTGAAGAAAGAAAGACATGGACATCTTGGATGACATGGGGGTGAGTAAATTATCAGCAAAAGTTTTTTTAAAAGTGAACTACTCCTTTCAAAAACAAAAGAAATGAATGAAAGTGTATATAATTAATATGCACAGCATAATTCATACAAAAAATACTTCAACAAATAATCAAGCTGCTCTTCTAACATCCGAGATCATCTCTCAGGTGAGTCACCCTCAAGGTGTATTTCACACCAAATGGTGATGATCTAACAGGTGTGGTTAGACTTTAAACAGTATCTATTACCAGGGGCCACACCAGCATTACACACTCGATGTGTAATTAACCTAGCCTCCTCCGAGAGACAAAAAAAAAAAAAAACATTATTCAGTCAGCCATTCAGGTGCAAATATCAGTTCAGACAAATGATGATCCATTTTTTTGTGGGTCTGCAGAGAATTCTTCTCACATCATAAGAACAGAGCAATAACGAGTGCTGACAGGACGGTAAGTAGAACATTGTCATCAGGTTTGGATGACAGCTACAGAGAATGCGGGGAAATTGAGAAAACAGCATGACATACAAGGGGCCTCTCTGATGTGACACTGTTACATAAGTGTGGAGGTCGGAGACAGATTCTCGGCTTCTGCTGCCTTTTACATTCACATGGGTGGGAGCATGAATGCACAACAGAAAGTGTGATAAAACAAGCTGCTGGAATCAAATTTAAACATCCGATTCAAACTCCCCCCTCTAATTTGACAAGATGGATGCTTGCAGAAATAATTCATGACATCCTTACACTCAAATCTCAGTATAATGAATAAAAATAGATGTGAATTCCAATTTACAGAAGCCTACGTGTGGTCACACAGCCACAGAAGAGCTTTTCTTGTGGTCAGTAATAGTCTTTTTGCTGAAGTATACTGCAGTCATTAAGGATTTATTCTATTATCTGTCAGCAAAAAAATGATTAGTCTGCAGTAGTGACCTTCTAAAGCCATAGTCTCATAAATGTGTGGAATAACTTTAATAACTACCAACTTTATATACCTTTTGGCACCAGTATTTTATTCCTCGATTTAATCCTTGAAGATGCACTCGATCATTCTAAAGTTAAGCTCATAAACTGGGTCTTTCTTTGTTACCAATATATTGCCGAAGTGATGACGTCACTTTGTAGGATAACTCGGAAGCTAGCGGCGCATGGGTTCCCTTGATCGAAAATCTATGCATTTTCCCCATAGACTTTTGGAAAATCGCAAAACATAAGATCTGTGTTCAACAAAGAGTTGTGATACTTGCACGTTTTGTCTATCAAGATAATCTTTACAAGTTAATCCAAAATGTATACATTTTGAAGCCTATATAACGTTTTTAAAAACACAAGGAGAAACAATAAAGTTTAAAAAGCCACAAGCGGGTTATAACTGTGTGTTTTATATCATAGATCAATACGTGAAAATATTTAGAGGCTTTGTTCACATTATTTCAGGCGATTTAGCAAAAACCCATTCAAAAATCCCATAGACTTTACAGCGAGGCAACAGGGAGTGCTAAAATGCTACCCCTGACTGAAATTGTAATTCTTGAAATTCAATAAAAAAAAAATTTTTTAAAAAAGAGTGCTAAAATGCTAACTCACTTCCGAGTTTTGGCCTACAACGTGACGTCGTAACTTCGGCATTATTAACGGTGGTTTTGAACACTATACTGACACCTATTGGTCTGGATGCATGAGGTTTGTTTACTTACACCAAAGCTGTTCCCATTAATTTATGTTTTTAATACTACACATACCCATATACCTGTTTTAGTACACTATCTGTATCCACAGCATGTCGTAATTACTGTAATTACAAGATGACAACCTGTCGTGATGTCCACAAGACTCGGAATTCTGGATTTCTATGGCAGCACTATCAATGAACAAGCGAATCTGCAGCAGTCACGTGGTAAAATTCAGAGCTCTGAGACAATTCAGAGTTTGTAAGTTGTAATTATGAGGACATGTAAGCTTTTTACAAGTCGGAATCTTGTAATTAATTCCTTTCTAAGGTTTGGTTCTATTTAAGGTATGGTTTCTCTAAACTTTCTATTTCAGATAAATGCTATTCTTTTGAATCCATTCTATTCATTAAAGAATCCTGAAAAGAAATTGTACAGAACTGTTTTCAAGATTGATAATAATAATAAATGTTTCTTGAGCATCAAATCATCATATTAGAATGATTTCTGAAGGATCATGCGACACTGAAGACTGATGCTGAAAATGTAGCTTTACCAACACAGAAATGAATTGCATTTTTAAAAATATTCAAATAGAGCAGTTATTTGAAATTGTTAAAATATTTCACAATATTAGTTTTTGCCATATTTTAGATCAAATAAATTAAGCAGTTACTATTGCACTTCAATGGAAGACAAAACAAATACACACAAAAAAAATAATCATATTAAATATAAAGCAAAGTAATAATACAACGGTAAAAAGATACAATAATAATGCCTATTATTCTTAACATCGAAATGAGTGTGCGACCCACTCTATGCAGCTCTATGCTAATATCAGTCTTTAAATCATATGAATGAATATCATTTTAATGATATTTCTCAAAAGTGTTCAACTTTTTTTGATTAGCAAAAATTGCTGAGTGCATCTTGAAGTTCACCCCAGTATTACAATGAATTTCATCTGTACACCCTCCACTGTCCTACAACTGTTTATTGTATTTTAACATATTTTCTCGAAACTACAAGCAAGAATGCGAAAAAGATTGCGAGGCATGAATAAAACCAGGAGATGAATGAGATGCATTTCATTGTGGTGTCATCTTTGTTAATAACAGACGGTGGCTGTGGGACAAAGAAAGAAGGCGTTTCAGCACCCAAAGCAAAAGATGGTTTAACCAACAGCCAAAAGTTTCCAAATTCTTAAAAGAAACACCAGCAAAAACTTAAACGATATTTGTCGGTGGATTGTGATGCACAGACATACATTACTTAAATGGGCACAACATGATTATAATAAACTTCAAAAAAATAAATCGCAAAACAACTACGGGTCGTATGCAAACCAGACTGAAAGTGTATCCTCGTGCTTAAAATATTGTCATGCAAACCAGATGATGTTAAATCGTGAATTAACTCTGTAGCTCGTGCAAAGCTGTTCAGGTTGTGTATCCCGACTTTCTCAGGCAAACAAACACACATCGTGCTAAAGACTCTTCTGGTCACATGTTCGTTTGAGGAATCTTTCATGAGAGAAAAAGTTCTCTTAAATGTTTCAACAGAGCACTAGAGTTGCTTTGTGGACTGGCAGGACAAACAGATTTTATTGTTATCATCAATCCGAGAACTCAGAAGTGCACAAACCCGATGCAACTCACTCCGAGCAAGGTGTCCTCCTGCTTTCCCAGCCGTTCAGTGCATGCAGCAAAGGCTTGATTGAAATAAAAATGTGAGCATGGTGTTCTTAAACACTTACCTGTTGTTTTTTTACCGGCACTGTGTAGTTTGGTCTACCTGCTTTCCAATGTGCTGAAAATGGCGGATGGAGACTAGAGCTATAGAGCTTCCCCAATGTAACTGGTCGGTCGGGTCGCAGAATTGGGAGAGGCACACAACCATCACGATGGGCCATTGGTGAGAGGAAAGCTGGCGAAACCTGGACCATCACAAATCAGCTTCTTCAGTATTCGAAATGTGCCTGTATATGGTTTAACTAATATGTTTCATTTTACACTTAGTTTTTTTTCCCTCCAGTGAATATTTCTCAAGGTTTGTTTATTTTCGGTCAGTTTCTATGTAAAGTCTTAGCTACAACAAAAGCTACAGAATATTTTTACATTTTTATTGCCCAAAAAAGGAGACCGTTTTAAAACAAATTCACATGACCCAATTGTTTTGACCTGAAATTAATAAATTGTAAATAATGACAACATATGAAACTGACCAATATTAAAAAGAACGGAGAGCTCATTGTTGTTGTTTTTTTTGTTGTTGTTGTTGTAGATGGTGGCTTCTTTCTTTTTATGTCTTAATCTATTCCATTGTGGTTTTGTGTTCACTTGTTTATCCAACAACTATAGCAAACATTTGAATTTTAAGGCTCTTAAATGCTCTCATGGGAAAATCACAAATTTAGACTAAAGATTAACACTAATTTTGACAAAAAGTAAAACACCTTGTGACAACCTTCTTTAAATTAGGGGAACATTTTTTTTATCTATAGCCTATGTAAAATAGTCGATACTGAACATATTGCAGGGAAACATCAACAAATGTCTATGAAAATTGACCTGCAGCAATTTTAGAGACAAACAGATTATAAACATTATCCAAATTGTTATTTGGTTTAAAAAAATATTGCTCTTTCATTCGAACTGATATATAGGCTAGACTTTTTAAAATATTCTGTTTATAATACAAAAATTGCACTGGATATGAGATTGCATCATCTCTCTTTAAACATAATTTGATATAATAATAATTAACAACTTGATTTTTAAAAAATGCAACATGACAAGTAATATTTGAAATGGATAATGTCATGAAGAGATCAAATAAAGGACTTACAGGTGTAACATGATGAGTAAATTATGAAGAAAAAAAGTACTAAACCATGCACTAAATTCCTAATCGGAATCCTTTTCCTCCCAAATAATTATTATGAAGGCTTGTAGTAATGTCGGCCACTAGGAGGAACTCTTGATCTCAGTTCTTATTGAATCTCAGGTCTAAAAATACATTTAGCATGTAGAGAAAATGATCAGTTTGTTTTAAATGTGTATCCAGTCATAAAAACAGAATTGAAAAATATTTTAGGATAATTCATCACCCTGTCCGAGAGCCCTTCCTCTGTTCTCAGAGAGATGTCTACGCCTGTGATTTCCTTCTGTCTCTGGTCCAGATGCTTACAACAGTCCACATCCCAAATAAATCCAGTCCCTGCATTTCCCCACATAAAATAATGTGTTATGAGAGAGTGAGACATATGCCTCTCAGAGTAATGCATGTTCCACATATGGACATAGTTTCTCTGCTTGACCCAACAACCTCTGCGTAACATGTGCTAGACGTGTGCTTGTACTATGTCCCAAGAGAAGATAAAATGAGGTGTCTGCCTTTATTGGCATACTTTGGGAATTTGTAATTTAACCATTTTTATTCCACATGAAATAGAGGCATACACAGATTTATGTATGACAAATTGTTATTTAACTGGATAATAAAATGGATAAGAAAACACTTCTCTACAACATCTTATTTAAAAAAAAACAAAACAAAAAAACAAGATACATTACATGTGAGGAATTGATATGAAACTGTACTTCGATCTGACACTATCACTTTGTTCACAGTTGTATTATTCTGCTATTATTGAAGATCAACACACTGAACAGATTCAGCAGAATTGTTCTTGATATGGCTCTGCCTGCTGAATCATTATGGAGAGAAGAATGCAGCGTTCAGAGCGAGACCTCATCTAACCCCTCCAAAACAATGGCAGTGTTGAGACTGTGCACTAAATATTACACTGCATTCAACATGGACAGTTTGTGGCATCCAGGGCACCACTGAATTGCATTAAATTGTTCTTAGGCTCTTCTACAAGGTTCCTTGGAGTCACCTGGAACATATTTTGTTTTAGAAGATGAAGAAATTTGATTTGACATGGTTTCTTCTTATGGAGAACTTTGTTCTGCTGCAGTTGGAGCAAGTTTCTCTTTAACACCCTGTTCACAACAGGACATACCATACTGTTCATAATTTGTGATCATACTGATTCAACATATCAGGAAAAGAAGGGAGCACAGGCTTCAAGTGAAAGAACACAAAAGTCACATGTCATTTATAACCACATGAAGAGTTTTGATATCCTGTCAGAAAAGCTGCACATGAAAGGAATATTTTACAGACACTATATGCAGAAAAATCCCACATTAAACACAATGTAAAGATACATTTCTGTCCAAAAGGACTTTTATGTTGTATTCTTGCTGACACTTACCATGTTACATCATTTGAAAAACAGAAAAGATGCAATGTGAAATTGTATATAAAGAAGTTAAAATAGCATTGTATCATATCAAAGTGTGGTCACATTAGCGAAATTTCACTGGTAAAAAAAAGGTCAACTGTCTATGAAGCACATCTCACAGTCACTAAACTAAGCTAAACAGCCTTCTGTTGGTCAATGCAGCATTTCAAAATCCACACAATTCCCGATCCCTATTGTAAAGTTGCCAAATAATGGTACTTTTAGATTGTACACATTGTGGTTAAAATATCTACAGTGTTAATGGCACACTAACCATGGATGAATTTACAAATTAACAACTAATTCTCATCCTAGGACGTCTTATAGGTGACACTTTTGACATTGCGTCGAAATCTGACGCACATGAGACCCTTTAGCGTCAATATAACACGCTTCGGTTATGGGTAGGTTTAGGTCTGGGGTAGTGTTACTGGGGAAGACCACTAGGAGGCGCCTGTCTCATATTGACGCTAAAGGGTGCCATGTGCGTCGGATGTAGACGCAATGTCAAAAGCATCACTTATATGACGCCTTGGGATTGGACCGGACTTTTTTGTGTTCAAAATTTTTACTACGAACAAGTACATCATGAAAACATTTTCCAAACCGCGTTTTTGTCTTATCCTGACTTTTCTTTTCCTACCACCGCGGAGTAGCCCAGTAAGTGAGTGGTGACTCATAGACATAAAAATAGAGAGCAAGACGCATACAGTTCTGTTTATTAACCGCTAGAGCACAAAAAGTTTTAAAAAATGACTATTTCTAAAGTTCATGCAAGGTTTCTGTCGCAAATGGCGACAAATATAATTTAATGTTAGTTAAAATAGAAACAAATATTGACTTGATTGGAAGCGAGCACAATTTGACGATCATCATCCATTTAGACATTGTTCAAGTAAAGCGCTCAAAAATATAATCAAATAATTTCACAAACCACAATCTTAAAGTCACCTGGAAGCAATTGATTTCAGCAAAATAAATATCTGAAGCAGGAGGAAGACAAAATGCAACATTTCACACTTGTTGAAGGAACATCGAGGTGAAGTTTTGTTCTGATTGTCTTCTTTTGCAGCAATCTAGATCTGATCACTGCTGTCTCCCTCCAAAGTCTTACCCAAAGTTCACATTCCCATCCATTTTATATATTTGTGGCAGAGAAAGAGCTTTTTATGGGTTTCCCACAGCACATAGAGGAAGATATATGGATCTGTCGACAGGTCACCCTGATTTCTCCAAGTTAATCAACATATTTTATTGGTCCCAGAACAGCTTTCCTGTCAGAAAATTTCGTCTTATCCCTATCGCTAAACCTAACCACCCATAACTTACCTCTAAAATCAGAGGGAAATGATAGGTGAATAACACTGATGTAGAAGCACCAAACCCTAAACTAGACATTAAAAGAAAACTTTTCCCTCAAATCTGATTTACTGGAATGTTCTTCCAGGATCGACAACGATGGTGATCCAGGAACAGAAGAACTAAGCTTCAGATACTAGAAATAGACCACCAAGTCAGTGACAGCATCAGATCCTCACATTCAAAATAGGTTGGTAAAATACCGAGGGACTGCGTGTGCTCTTCAGGAGGAAACTGGGATTACAAAGGCTTAAGCGATTTCAAAGCTCCGTGGTGAGTGCACCAAATACACAAGTGTGAGGAAATGCAAACTTGTAGGGTGCTTCAAACGCTACAGCATCTTGAGTGTTGCAAAAGCTTCTCAAAGCCAAGAACATCCAGTCGACGGCAGTCTTGCCATCAGAAACTGGTTTTTAGCGAGATGCAAGATGGCTAACCTAGATCTGCTGAGCAAAAACAGGCTATTTAACAAGCTGATTGTTATAACCTATTGCGACAGCTGCATGTGCACCATACAAGACTTGAGTTTACAGAATACTTTGATGAAAAATGAATTCAATTTTAAGGTTAATGTGAGAGTGCAACCTTAAAAGTTCACATTAAGTTCAGTTGCTTCCATGTTTCATGATACAGACCTAGCATGTGGACATCTGGGATAAGGACATCTATGCTTTTTCCTGTGTATTACATGCATGGTTACTCATGAAATAAACAGATATGTGAACATTAAATCTTGATTGGATAAAAACAAAAAAAATGTATATTAAATTAAAGAAAAATATGGTCCATTAAAGGGTACTAAACATATTTTCACTATAATCGATTACTATGATGCTATGACACCATTCCGTGTTGTAAGGGGCCATTCACACAGGGCACATTTTTTATTTTCTGCATTTATTTTCCAATTTTTGTTTTACTTTTATTTATTTAATCTTTCAATTATTCTTATATTTATGCATTTGTTCATATTTAATAAATCCCACATTAATGTATATGTATATTTCCAGATTAATGTATGTATTTATGAATAAATATAAAAATAAATGAAAGAATAAAGCTAAAAAGAAATACAAAAAGGAAAAACAGTAATACAAAAATACAGTCAGGATTATAGGTCTTATCAGGAAGTTAATTCCTTTATTTGTTTACCTAATGTTACATTCATCTATTTATTTCTGCAGTTTGGG